CCAGCTACTTGGGAGGCTGAGGCAGGAGACTCGCTTGAGCCCAGGAGTTGGAGATTGCTGTGAGCTGTGAAGCCACGGCACTCTACCCAGGGGGACAGCTGGAGGCTCCTATCACAAAAAAAAAAGAAAACAGGAAAGAAGAAAATCAATTAAATTGTACTACCCAAATGAATTACTTTCTAGTCTTTTCTATATTTTCCCTTTCATTTTTTTATACATGTTTCTGTCAATGCCAGACCCCATATATGACAGTGGTTCTGTAAGATTATAATGAAATTGTACTATACAAGTGTCCCATTAAAAAAAATCTTTTATACTGTATTTTTAGTGTACCTGTACTTGTGTTTAAATATACAAGTACTTAACAGTGTTTTACAACTGTCTACATTATTCGGTATATTAGCACATTGCATAGGGATTCAGCCCAGGAGCCACAGGCCACACTACATGGCCTTGGCGTGTAACAGGCTTTACTACGAAGCAGGTTTGTGTTCACCCAGTGATCAGATAACCCACTGACAAATTTCTCATAATTTATGTTCATCGTTAAGCAATACCTGACCATAAGTGAAATCACACTACATGTAATTTTAGACCAGTGATTTTCTTTATAAGCATACTAAAAATATTAAAACTAATTTGAAATGTGTCTAGGTGTCATATAGCTAGTTAACTTGCACTACATGCCACCCTGTTGCTTTTCTTTTCTTTTCTTTTCTTTTTTTTTTTTTGAGAAAGAGTCTCACCATGTCGCTCTTGGTAGAGTGCTCTGGCATCACAGCTCATAGCAACCTTTAACTCTTGGACTTAAGCGATTCTCTTGCCTCAGCCTTCTAGGTAGCTGGGACAACTGTCTCCCACCACAACACCCAGCTATTTTTTGTTGCAGTTGTTATTGTTGTTTAGCAGGCCTGTTTAGCAGGTTTGAACCCACCATGTCCTGGTGTATGTGGCCGGAGCCATAACCACCGAGCTATGGGCACCTAGCCTATATGCCACCTGTATCAAAAGGTTAATACAGGTTACATGTGATGATTCTACTTTCATAATACCACCTACCAGCTATGCAATCTGAGGTAAGATCCTTAACCTCAACCTTGGTTTCTTATCTGTAAAATCAGGTTAGTAAAGATCATATAGGAATATTGCGAAAATTTAATAAGATATGTAAAGTTTTTGTACAGCACCTGGCACATGGAACTTAACAAATATCACTGATTACTGCTTCCTTAGTACAACATTATCTTCTAGATTTTGACTGCTTGCCAGTGGCAGCACTAAAAATTGGTGAAAAAAATGGAAAAGAAAATCAATAAATCTCAATTATCAGTCTCAATTACTCAACAGTGGATTACTCAGACCACAGGTCAGGTGTCACATGCAAAGATGTTCTATTCAGGCTGCACAATGTTTAAACATTTTTAGAATGTGTGGAAACATGAACCTGCCAATATTTTACACTTCTTCTTCTTTTTTTTTTTTTTTT